TACAGCTCTTGAAGTATATTTATTAAAAATTAAATCATTTATTTTTAGATGTCCAAAAACTTGAAAATTCTATGAAAAAATACAAATATGAACTGCTAACTTTGAAATCGAGTGCAACTAAAAACAACATCACTCTTTTGTCCCCTAGTACCAGTACTAAAACAAACTGCCTTCTTTCCTTCCTACACAAGCAGCTGACAGCTCTTCAGCCTTTGTAAGGACAGCAGAATAAAAGTAAGAGGGTAAATAAAGAGTTTTGCTCAGACACAGTGTAGCAGGGTGCAACAGAAATGGTTAGCTTGGTTCAACACTCATATATCCATAACATGACAATAATGCTAGACAATATACTAGAAAGACAGTATTCCAACCGGGCACAGGGACACTGGAAGGTTTGTCATTAATAACTCACTATCACTAATTTTTGGTGAAGGTAGCAGCCTGCTAGAGGAGAAACTGAGATATTTAAAAGCACATTCTTGCCTCAAAATTAAGGGTAGAGAAGAAAAAGCAGACATATGGGAAGGAAATAAAGATAGCCCAAACAAAAAGGTGATGCCTATAAAGTGTCAATAAAGCTAACCACAAATGAAATTTTATCTCTACCTCTATTTCAATACATTTCCTTAAATTTTAACTGATCCTTTCAAACAGCAGTAGTAATCTATTAGACTTCATTATGTGAATGTATTTATATCTAGTATTAATACTGTAAAATTATTTAAAATGTTAGGAAATGAAATAAAACTTACCCCATCGCTTTCTCTATGTGGATTCAGTCTACTATAAACAGCTTCAATAACATTGCGCCTAAAAAAAACAATGCTTTAGTTTTCTTAAATTATGTATAATTTTAAGCTTGTAAGTATTTCAATACTTCATCATGACCACACTGAAAAGTTAACTGCCACACTTAATACTTGCCAAGAACAATTCCTACATTTCATTCTCAGAATTTGATTTTGCACAATTTATTTGTTCTCATTTGGCAAGAAAATAACCACCTTCATCCTCAAAGGTATGATAAATAATTCTTTTTAAAAAAATCTTTTTCCAATGAAGTTTTAGAGTTCTTCTCTAGTACAAGAAACATTAACCCATTTTGTCTTGAGATAATTGATTTGCTTCTGATTTAAGTTTTCTTACCCCAAATTATTTAACTACTAATTATAAATGAGCACAAAATGAGCTCTTTTTGTTCTACTTACTTGCCAGCAAGACCTCCCCCGGGAGGCAAATTAGGGATATTTTCTGCAGACAAGATGCGCATGACATGGGCAAGATCAGGCATTCCTTCCTCACCAGACTTCTCCATAATCTCTGTGGGTTTTTTAAGAAAGTTCCTAAATTAATGTGATAACTCAGTACTTACACAGAAGTAAAAGGGGTACTATTAGGTAGTACTTACTTTAAAATATAAAAAACAAGTATTACTATCAACACACAAGGAATTTTTTTAGAGTAACAAAAAGTTACTTGTTGACCAAAATGTTATGTGGGGAGGGGAAAAGTTGCTTACATATGTTCATTCCAGCATTATTCGAAAAAACAGAAACTGGAACCAGTTTAATATCCAACAATAAGGGAAAAGGTGACAAAATGTTGGTGTAGCTGCTGAGTGAAACAGTTTATAATCACTAAAAATGGTCTTTATGACCACAGTAGCAGCTACAGGGAAAAATACTAACATAAAAGTTATTAATTCATAATTACAGGTAAATGAAAGCAATAGCTGGGAAGAATTATAAGGAAAGGAAGGGAATTAAAAAATCACTTTATGGGTTTTTTGATACCTATATAGTTAGGTTCTACAATAATTTATTTAAAAGAAAAAAGGAAAATAAATATCTCACTTGCTTAGAACCAAACAAAAAATTTTATACTTTCCATTTCTATTTACAATTTATGGAAATAGATTATTTTCTTTTATGGTAGTTTTTGGCTGAGGCTGAGTTTGAACCTGCCACCTCTGGTATATGGGGCCGGGCCCTACTCCTTTGAGGCACAGGTGCCGCCTTGGAAACAGATTTTCTAAAGCATGATTATTTAGACACTGGCAAGATTTAAACTTCTTAAAAATCAAACAATGGGTGCGTATTTTTAAGACTACAAAAAAGCAGTGCCTTCAGAGGCTCTCAAATAGCAAAATCCAGGCCAGTATGCAAAATTCAAAAGTATCCTATCCCTAAAGAACTCACAAGTGAGTTAGGGGGACACAATAAGGGACATATATCCTTAAAATTATAAAAATACATAGCAATGAACTACTTGTAGCAAGAAAATATAAAAAATTAGTACCATATGTCCATGACATTATTGTAGTTAGTATTTATGGTTTTACCTACTCCCAAGTGAACTTCAAACTCCAGGCTTTTAGTTATTGGCAATTTTCTAAGGCACAAAATTGAATTAACTACATTGAGAAGCTGCTAACTGTAAAGGATAGGTGGGGCTGGATGAGGTGGCTAATGCCTGTAATCCTAGCACTTTGGGAGCCCAAGGCAGGTGGTCCACTTAACCTCAGGAATTCAAGATCAGCCTGAGCAAGAGACCTCATCTTTACTAAAAATAGAAAAATTAGCGCAGTATAGTGGCAGGTGCCTGTAGTCCTAGCAACTTGGGAGGCTGAGGCAGGAGGATCTCTTGAACCTAGGAGTTTGAGGTCACTGTGAGTGAGGCTGAGGCCATGGCTCTCTAGACTGGGCAACAGGATCTTGCTCTGTTGCCAGGCAGAGTACCATGGTGCCATCATAGCTCACTATAACTTCAAACTCCATAAGGATATATATCCTATGTCCCTAACTACTGTGTGACAAAGTAAGAGCTTAGGGGCAAGGCCCACTCTTACTTTGACATTCATCTCTTTCAACCCTGCCCTAGTCCCTCATCTCCAAAGGCTCCTCTATTCAAAGAAGCCTTCTCCTGCTTCTAGATCTTCCCATGTATTGTTTTCCTTGTTTTGGAACAGTTCTTGTGCCAATCCAACCAACCCATCTGCATGTTGAACATACAAAGATTTTCACCTTTCAGGTTTCAACTTTATGTGTTAGTTTATGAAATCCTTCTCTGATCTAAGCCTAGAGTAGGTACAGCAGTATATTCCCATATACATGACATACATTGTAGTCATGCTATATACTCCCATAAACATGATGCTTACTGTATCATGGACACAGGTTTCATGAAGACACAGAACTATAATTTTCTACCATAGACTTGTAATAGCATTTCTCAACCTCCACAACACTGATGATTTAGACAATTTCCTGTTGTAGGGGCTGTCCTGCCCACTGCAGAAGGTTAAGCAGCATTCCTGGCCTCTATTCATTTGATACCAGTAATATTCTCTCAGTTGTGAAAACAAAGATGTCTCAAGACATTGCCACTTGTTTCCTGGGAACAAAATCTCCCCCAGCTGAGAACCACTGCAGCCTAGCATAGTACCAACCAATTTTCACACCCCTCCATTACTGCTACTCCAGTCTAATTCGCCACCTGCATTAAAACGTTTTCTAATCCGTATTCTGGCTTTTCCTCTTGTGCCCTCTTCACACTCTTTTGTCCACACAGCAATTAAGAGGAATCCTTTGACAAAAAGTCAGAGCAAGTCAGTCTTGTGCTCAGTATCTTCCAACAAATTCCTATCAGATTTTTTTTTTTTTTTGAGACAGTCTCACTCTGTCCCCTCTGTAGAGTGCAATGACATCATCATAGCTCACTGCATTCTCAAATTCCTGGGCGCCAGTGATCCTCCTGCCTCAGCTGGGACTTCCTGAGTAGTTGGGACTTCAAGGCTAACTTTTGCATTTTTCATACAGCGAGGGAAGGGTCCCACTCTTGCTCAGGCTAGTCTTGAACTCCTGAACTCATGTAATCCTTCGGCCTCAGCCTCCCAAAGTGCTAGGATTACAGGACAGGTAAGCCACTGCCTCCTATCACAATCTGAATAAAGTCCAAAGTCCTCATTTTGGTGTACAGAACCCTACGTCAAGTGCTTCCTAGCAACCTCTTTTAATGTTCTTCCACTTCTCTATTAGCTCATTCTAACCTAGCCATACTCACTAAGCACCTCAGCCTTTGCTGTTCTTTTTGCCTAGAATGCTCTTCCCTGAAATAATCACTTTCCATATGCAGGTCTCTGCTTAAAGGACACTCCTCACAGAGACCTTCCTAACCAATATAGCTTGCTGTTCTGTTTAGTCTATTTTATTTCTCTCCTACTCGAAAAAAAATTATTGGTCTCTACTAGAACATAAACTCCATGAGAATTGTTTTGTTTTTTGCTGTATCTTTGGTGACACATATACTCAACAAACAATGAGTAAAAATTATATGTAGAAAACACTCACAAAATATCTAATTAATCAGTTTAGGTGAAATACTATTCCCTGTTTAACACCATACCTCTCAAACCTGACCACTCTCATCACCACCAAAAGCACATACACAGACTTGCCCAACCCACATACCAGAATTCTTTTACTTCAAAACCTAATATCATTATTACATAATTTAAAACTTGAATAAAAATATAACACCCCAAAGAATACTGTCTTATAAAAAAGAAGTTACATTTTAAGTAGCAATTCAAAGTGATTTGTACTGGCTATCTTGCCAAGTATTTTAAAGTCTTCTGACTGAGTGATAATGATTAAGTTATTTGCTACAGGTGCGAAAGGTCATGACATTATATATTTTTTTTTATCTCTACTGAATGGTATATACTTTGAAAAGATACAAACCATACCAAAGAACATTAATATTAAATATTAATACTCCATGTTGAAATGAACCAACCATGCCTTTAAAAAATTAAAAGTTAGCTTACAGAAGAGTTAATAAAGGACTTATGTGGTAGGCACCATACTAGATGCTTAACAAACATGATTTCATTAATTTTGACAAAGATTCTCTCCTTGGACCAAAACCTTAGTAAGACTCTTAAGTTCTTTTGACTAAGCTGACCTTGGGTCTCCTCTGTCCTTGCAGAATCCAGGCTGAGCAAGAATGCTGCTAAAGCAGTTATTGGAAGTCTCCCACCCTTGCTATCTGACCACCAGGATATCTTATCACCCTGGCTTGCCCTGAGCAAAATCCTATCAAGTCAGTTTAGCCCTTATCTTGAAGTTTCCTCTTAGCAATCTTTGATCCACTGCCCTCTGTCCCCTACTCTGCTCCCTGGCTATAAACTCTCACTTATCCTTGTGGAGTCCAGGTTAAGACCAATTTCTCTGCTACTGCAGAACCCCACCGTATTGATTTCTAAATCTTCCTCCATAGCCTTTGAAAAAAGTCTGCCTCACCATCTTCAACAAGTATCATAAATAAGCTTTTTCTTTAACAATTTTTTAAAACAACCTCTACTTTAAATTTGGAATAAAGAAACTAGAGCCTTGAAAGGTCAAACAAGTTGGATAAGATCACATTAACAAGTAGCTAACCAAACGAGAGAGCACTTCCTAAAAAACTACCCAGTTTCCTTATGAGATAAGGAAAATCCCTCCCACCATCTGATAAAGTACATCAATCAAACTACATCAATCTGCCACCCCAATATACTACAGTTTCTCAGAAAATGTCTAACAACTCCTATAAAAGCTCCTCTTAATAATTATATTACATATTATTACAGAAATGTGTCTCTGGTATGGTTTTCAAAGTCTTCCCACGTTTCTCATCTTTCCATCACCTTAAAAAAGCAGGGCTCACTGGAACTAATAATTCCTGAAACCTAAAAGCAGGATTCATTTAGAACTCAGGAAATTGTAGACCAAAAACAAAAAAAGAAGAAAGAAAGAAAGAAAACACTTTAACCACATTGTTTAAAAGTGTGTAGCTAGACAACTATAAAAAAGATTAACCCTCCTCAAATTTGCAAAAGAATGGAGTTTTTCTATTCTAATACACGTTTCTAATCACAAACCTTTACATTTCAAAACTCCCACCAATTACTGGGGCTACTGGGGCAAAATATAACTCGTAACAGGTCAAATTCAATATTGAATTTGTAAAAAGATGACAGATTTAAACCCAGACATATCAGCAATTATATTTAAGGTAAACAGACCAGTCTCTGCCCTCTTATCATTCCTGAATAATTTAACCTCAAACCTTTAGATTTGCTTAGCTAAGCAAATTAAGTCTTCCAGGGAGTGGAGGGAGCAACAGGGGCAGCAGGATCCAGCGTAAGCATAGTAACCAAAACTTTAGCACTGGTGTGGGGCAACCTAGAAGGGACTGTCAAAGCCAGTGTGGAGTGAGGAAGGCATCTGCATGAAGGTTAGCACTGAGGGAAGATTTCTTTACTGATTAGTAGGAGCCAGGTTTCTCACTATAGGAGAAGGGAACTACAAATACGCAAAGGAAGAAAACTAGAATAAATCCTACAGCATTATTCAGTTGGAAATACTAGTGGGAATACTAAATAAATACATAATTGACGAATGGATAAAGACAGAAAGAAATATATGATGTAAGTGTGTGTGTTCTCTTAGAGAGTCTGAGAACAGAAATAACCTAATAGCCCAAATCTCAGGTCCTAAATACTATTCTCCCCTAAACTAAAAGAACAGAAAATGGTGCAGTAGAGAACTACGCAGAGAAAATAAAGATGAGCCTGGAACACTTGATTATGGCAGAAAGTAGAAAGTGTTCCAAGATCACAAAAATACTATATAGCAAGTTTGAAGAGGCTCCCATTGGCTTAATCTAGGACAATATAAGCATCAAGTAATATAGTAACAGTTTATAATACAATGAATATGACAGTAATCTGTGAGTTCATGCTCATAGAATTAAATGGGTACAAGAGAAAATTTTTCCTTACAATTAAGTGCTAACTAAACATATAACAGGAATAACTGAATCAGAAAACCACCACTTGGCTATTACTCTAGTAGCAACTGAATTCAGGCAAGAATCACCAATGGATGCTAAAACTGGTTGCTGCAAACTTGATGAGGAATACAATCTCTGAGTATCTCCCCACAGACTGCTTATTAGTAAGTATAACATATTAAGTACTTATCAGGTATAAGAGAATTATAATTATTAATTTCAGGAGAGAAATGTAAAAGAGATAGCAAGTCATAAAAATGTTAACATTATAGGCAGCGCCTGTGGTTCAAAGGAGTAGGGTGCCAGCCCCCTATGCCAGAGGTGTCGGGTTCAAACCCAGTCCTGGCCAAAAACTGCAAAAACAAACAAACAAACAAAAAAATGTTAATATTATAAGTCAACAACAAGACACATCAACATCACATGCCTCCTGACACTAAGAATCTAGAATCATTTTTCTGGTAGTCCTGCCAATATATAACCTAAATCTTATGAAAAGGAAACATTTGCCACCCAACTTGGACATTCTACAGATTAATTAACCTGCTCCTTTAACAAATCTCATGGCCAGCAAAAACTGGAAAAGACAAGAGAACTTATAAATTGAGGGTGACTAAGGAGGCATGATAGCTAAATAGCACATGCTCTAGGACTAGATACTGCACCTATAAATGACTTACTAGGATTATAAAGGCAATCTGAACAGATCTGTGGGTTATATAGTAACATTGTTATTAATGTTAATTTCCTAATTTTGATAAGATGTACTATAGTTTTATGTAGAGACCATCCCTGTTATATTAAGGGGTACTAGGATATCATATTTGCAATTTACACTCAGTTGTTTTAAGAAAAAGATTAGTAATATGGGGGTAGAAAATATAAGGAAGTTATAGAAAGTATATATAGAGATAAGGCAAATATGATTTATAACAAACAAATGAGGAATACAGTTAACGGTTTCTACATGTACATGGGAGCTCTTTGTAGTATTTTTGCAATGTTTCTGTTTAAAATTATTACAAAATGAAAGGTTAAAAATAAGCAAAACTTAGGCACACAGATGTTTTTCAAGGCCTTGTCTCAAAACACTTATTTTACCTATGGAAATTTTAAAATAATCATTCGATAAGGAAGAATATTTTTACTTCCCTTCTAAATAAAAAAAGAAAGAAAGAAAAAGCATCTTTCTTACCTTCAACCCGTGATTCCAAGTGCTTATCCAACTCTAAATCTTTTTTCACTGCTTCTTCTGAGACCTTGGGGGCATTTGAAAAGCAAACTAGTACAATACTCATGTTATCTCTACTTCCCTGTATATTAAAGAAAGAAAAAGAAAAAATTATGTTTCTACAGTCTACCAACTTTATATTCTTTACTACAAAACAGTTAATTACTTTAAGCAATTACAGTTTAATCATTCAAAACGTAATATATTCAACATACTCACTTTTATTCCAAAGGACTACTTAAAATACAACTTGAAAAACAAGGTGTCTAGGTATGTGCAGATCTGTAATTACGTTTAAATTTTTAATTCTGTGTTAACTATTCCTACCTACCACCACCCCACAGTATGAGATATGAAATTATTTTCCTACATATTACATCCTTTACTTCCCACCCAAGGTTTCCTATCCCCAGAAAGGTAGAGGTTCAAAATGCACCCTCCCAAATACACATGAAATTTTTTCCACTTAATTAACCTGTATCAGAGCAATACTACAATTCTGTAGAATTTAACACAGCTGAAAATGTTGTTCAGTAGGATACCTAAGAAGCTAAAATGAACAACTACCAAAAACTGTCCTGAGGATACAGAATCAGGAGTGGAATGTAGGTGGATAAATGAGATGAAATTATAGTTGATACGGTAACTTTTAAAGACGTTAAGATTGTTATACAGAATCACAAATAGTTTCAGAGTCTTCATAGGGCAGCTAAAACAACTAATCTAAGAATACATGTCAAATCTACCAAGTGTAGAGTATAAATGTCTTAACACAATAATTAAGAAAGTGCAGTGAAGGCTATGTTAACCAGTTTGTTGTATTTCAAATTGTATATAAAACCAGCACACTGTACCCCATAAATACATTATTGCACACAGCTATAATTTAATTTAAAAAAGAATAAATTTTACTGCTATCTTTTGATCACACCCTCATGAACTATATTAAAAGGAAGCACAGCCTATATGCCATTCTAGTACCATTAAGATTATGTAAAGTAAAAAAAATCTTCTCACTTTTTCTACAGGTGTATTACTTTGAGTTTCTTAGAACCAATGTAACTGTTCTCAAAATAGTAATTTTTTGTTTAAAAAGACTAAGAGATGATAAGCTCTATCAACGGAGATAAGATATTTTGTCCAATAGGTGTTTGACAGATCTGCCAACTCAAGAGAAACCATACCCGTTGTCATCTTTTCAATCATTATGATCAGAGTTTAGGCAGGCATTGTTTACTAGACCCTTGTACCCTTTCAGAGACCTCGTAACACAGTCAAAAAGCCAGGCAGGCCTTGAAGAGCTTCTGCCTCTGCCTTCTAAATCAGTAAGAATAAAGTTTGAAAGCAATGAAGGTCTGGTCTTCAGGAGACTTTACAAAAGGTAACTCCACAGACTCAAGCTTTAGAAGGAAAATCATCATGAATATGTAGTAAGATTCTCCATATTTGGAAAATCACTATTTCCAAAATGACCTAAACTAATTTCATTCCTTAATGAAACCACCAAAATTTTCTTCACTTAATATCAGAAATACTGTATGTAGTAGTACAAACTATACATATGTGCACATATCAAAATTTTTAATAAAAAATTTAAAGTACATCATCGATATTCAAGATCTAATAAGCATCATTGTAATACCAATAATGTTTTTTAAAGCAGTTTAATGAATAAACAGAATTAACACTTCGCATTTTTAGAAATCTAGATTCTTCTAATCATTTTCCATTTTGGTAACAATGGCATGAACACTGTTCTACAATTCCTAATATGTATAAAATTTCCATTAGATTTTTGAATTATAAAATATAGATCCTTTAGGAAAATTAACTGAAAAATAATTTCAAGAAGTTCATGGCTCTCCAAAGATATTTAAAGGAAGTAATTTACACCTCAGGCATGTATGATTTCTACAATGTTGCTTCTACTTCTACATACTGACTATCCCCTAAACATCACGTCTGAATGTACTTCAATAGTTGTTAAATAGCAACTGAAAAGGCCCTTCTCTTTATGCCTCTTCAGTTTTCTGGAGACAAACATTTCTTACATAATCAGTATAAAGTTTTCAAGAAGTCTAGAAATGAAAACATGTTTCTGAAAAAAATTCATCTCGAACTAAAAGTAACTAGCCTGACATTTTAAAATTGATTTATTTCAGACCAGGCACAAGAGCTCACACCTGTAATCCCAGCACTCTGGGAGGCCAAGGTAGGAGTGCTAAAGCCAGGGGTTAGGCTCAGCGCCTGTGGCTCAAGCGGCTACACTTGAGCGGCTACACATACACTTAAGGTGGCGGATTCGAATCCAGTCCAGGCC